GGGATGCCCCTGGGAATGCTAATGATACCATTACAACAGAGGAGCATAGAGGAGAGGGAAGGAAGGAGGAGGAGATAGAGGAGGGAAAGGGGAAAGAGAGGAAATCGGAGGGAGAAAAAGGAGGAGGAACCACAGCCTCTCCCCTCAGCTGTCCTTTGTTCTTCAAACCAACGCGCAGGCCGGGGCCGCTAGACTCCGCCCCATCTCTAACGCTCAGCATCACTGAGCGTCACTGGAGCAGAACCGACCCCCGGAGCCCTCCATTCTGATAGGCTGGGGCGCCGCCAGCCTCCGCCAAGGAGAGGCGTGTACGGCACACGGGCGCAAGGCGCCGGCCGGTAGGCGGGCGTTCAGCAGCCGCCAGCCGCGCTGCAGCGCCGAGGCCGCGGGCCGGCCAGCCGCCATGGTGGACTACTACGAGGTGCTGGGCGTGCCGCGGCAGGCCTCGGCCGAGGCCATCCGCAAGGCGTACCGCAAGCTGGCGCTCAAGTGGCACCCGGACAAGAACCCCGAGCACAAGGAGGAGGCAGAGAGGCGGTTCAAGCAGGTGGCGCAGGCCTACGAGGTCCTATCTGACGCCCGCAAGCGCGAGGTGTACGACCGCTGCGGCGAGGCGGGCGAGGTGGGCGGCGGCGGCGCGGCCGGCAGCCCGTTCCAGGACGCCTTCCAGTATGTCTTCTCCTTCCGAGACCCCGCCGAGGTCTTCAGGGAATTCTTCGGGGGCCGCGACCCCTTCTCGTTCGACTTCTTCGGAGACCCGTTTGAGAACTTCTTTGGGGATCGGAGGAGCTCCCGGGGAAGCCGATGCCGAGGGGCTGTACCCTTCTCTGCCTCCTTCACCGACTTCCCAACTTTTGGAGGCGGCTTTGCCTCGTTAGATACCGGATTCACATCCTTCGCTTCTCCGGGAAGCCCAAGCCTTTCTTCTTTCTCCATGTCCTGTGGCGGTGGGGCGGCAGGCAACTTCAAGTCGGTGTCAACCTCCACCGAGATCGTCAATGGCAAAAAAATCACCACCAAGAGAATCGTTGAGAATGGCCACGAAAGGGTGGAGGTGGAAGAAGATGGACAGTTAAAGTCCCTGATAATTAATGGCAAAGAGCAGTTGCTTCGCATCGATACTCAGTAACGACATAAAGTGCGTTTTAAGGACGATCAGGACTTTTTTTTTTGTTTAAAAGCGTTTTCACGGGAACTCTACTTTCAGAACAACTGTATTCAAGACATTATATACAGCTCATTCTGGTGCCTCTTACTGTTGGGACTGCAGGGATAGGATCTCTCTTGGTCTTTATGCCTGTTGTAAATATCTGTATGCCTTTGGCACTCATTAAATTTAATCCCGAGGCTGACCACCGTTATGTCCTAGCGGTAGGAAACACTTCACAGCACCTAAAACCGCACAATGTCCGTTTTGTGATAATTCTACCTAGAGAGCGTTCTGTGAAGTGCAGCCATTTAATATAGCTCCACTTTCCCACATTCACACTGTGGTGGAAGATATACATATATTGATTGTTTAGTTGAAAATAACTTGAAAAAGCAGCTTTTAGTTTACCTAAAATAATAGTGGTATAGGAAATTGACCAGTGTTCAAATGAAAGGTTAAGTTACATTGAAGGAAGTACACTAAGGAGGTTCTGGTCACTGCTGCAATGGATTACCATGAACTTGGTAATGTATATTACATTAGCTCTTCTAGGCTAGAAATCTGAAGTCCAAGTCAATGGGCAAAAAGGCAGGTTGCCAAGACCATGCTCTCTGAAGGTTTAAGGCTGCATCTATCAGTCAAGGTCTCAACATGGGGCTGGTTAGTGCTCAGCCCTAAATTTGTTCTACAAACAGTAGAAGATACTGGAAGTGAAAAGAAGTGCCTTTTAAAGGATAAGCTTCACAGTTGCCATATGTAATATATATGTAAATATGTATCAACAATAGAGTCCATTCTGTTAGCACAGTTGGGTGCTTCATCTTCAGACCTTGCAGAAGATGGTTGCCTTTAGAGAGTACACCATAGAATATCCTACCTCACTCCAATGTCATCAGTGAAGACTGCATAAGACATGGAAGCAAAGGGGTTTTAAATTTCCACACTTAGTAATTCTCTTCTGAGAGGTCATGGAACCTAAGCACATTATTATAAAGACTACATAAACATGTTGGATACCCATACTGCCCTGAAAGTGTAACCTCATGCAGTGACATATGTACAGTACAAAGCAGAAACTCGAGATTCAGCACTGTCCCCTGGGTCACACAGAGCCTTTAGAAACCACATCAATGAAACAATCACTGCAGAACCAGGTGGTAGCTGTTTTCTAACAATAGCAAGTTCCCAAATCAGACCAACTACCAGACTTGGAAAGAAATGTTTTCCTCAGCCCAGGGAGCAAAGGAAGATAGTCACCAAGGGCTGGGAGATGGCCCCGGGGGGTTCAGTGCTTACTAGACAAACATCCCCCAAAACATAACTGGTGAATGTGGTAGTCCCCAGAAGGCAGAAACATGCAATCACCAGAGCAAGCTGTCAGACAAGATGAGCTGTATTGGCAAGCTCTGACTTTTTTTTGGAGAGACCCTGGATAAGGTGGGCAAGTAATCGAAGATGGTTCCTGACATCTGACTTGGACCCCCACGTGCATGCACACATGCAAAATATGCAGACACACATGCATACTGCACACATAGAAACAAGGGGAAACGATACTGAGTAGAACGTTGGCGTGGGTTTATATCTGAACTGGTAGATATCAGGGATTTGGGGATAACGAGCATACAGTTCCGTGGTGGTTAGATTTGGAAATCGCCACCCTGGTAGGACAGAATGGGTGAGTCTGAAACCACACAGTAGAAAAAACATCTTCAGCAGAGAGTCCATGGTAGACAATGAGTCTGGCATACTGAGGCCACTAAGAGGGCATAGATTTTCAGCTCTGGCTAGATTCAACAGTTGAGAGCAAACACAAGAATCAGTGTTCATATATCCTGGATTAATGGTACTTAGTATAAATGGAAAGTTCCTGGCTGGCCTGGAACTAATTATGTAGGCTAGGCTGGCCTTGAATTCACAGAAATCTACTCTGCTCCCCAAATGTAGGAATTCACAGTATGTGTCACCAGACCCAACTATAAATTAATGAATTGGCAAGCTTGAAAACCTCTTCAAAAATTGCTCAATCTCAAAACACTTCTGCAGATATGCCTGTGGAAGGTCATTTTTTTAGGAAAGGTTTGTCGTGGTGGTCACAAGGCACCTTGTGCAAAGAGGAGCCTCCTGAATCCACCAGTGGATCTGCTCTGTAAGAGCATATTCCTGCACAAGCCTGACAACTTGACTTTGATCCTTGGGACCTGTGGTGGAAGAAGAGAACCAGCAACTGGAAGTTGAAGTTGTTCTTGACCCCCACATGAGCACCCTGAAGTACATGTACCCTCCCAGCCATACACACATGCACATCTCACCTAATTTTTTTCAAGCATTCAACTCCACTATAAGGGGATTCCCCTCAATGAACCACTGGGAGAATTTTCTAGAATGTAACAGGCAAGGAAGAACAATACACTGTAAGACCCAGAAGACTAGGAGCCCTGCTTCACCTAAAACAGAATGAGCCAGTCATAGTGGCTGGAGGTTCACACACAGCCATTTTGGGTTTAGCTTCATCAACATGGCTGAAAAGCATTTGAAAGAAACTATACTGTCTTCAGGTAACTACCTTTCCTTTGATTTTACGTCACAGCCTTAAAAAGATACCTTCTCCATTTTAGGAAGTCATTCATTTGTATCAGCTTATGTTTCCAGAATTTCCAGTTCCACGTTGTCATCAGTTGTTTCCCCTCTCCCCTACTCACTCTCATCTTCCACATTCCTTCTTTCTCCTAACTCCTCTCCTCCCTCCCTCCCTCCTACCTCTCCCTTCCCTGTATCCCAGTTCAGGGTTCATTATGTAGCCAAAGATGGACTTGAACTCATAATGCTACCTCAGCTTCCTAAGTGCTAGGATTGCAGACCTGACATCCTAAAACCAGATTACAGGTTTTCTCACTAAATACAGATTCATTCAACTTCCTTAGATCTCCATTAAGCCATTTAGTGTAGTTTCAATTACTGTCAGACAAGCTAACTGGATTGGGAAGTAGCCAATGGCCTCAGGACTAAATATACAATTTGTTCTCCACCTCTACACTGTGATAAAGTAAAAAGGTTTGTTATGGTAGATTTCTCTAGACAATTTTCTTTTAGCTTTCTACATACAAAATTTGAAATAGACAATTGAGTTATATCATGGAAGATCTGCCATCATACAGTAGCTGCTCAGTTACACGTGGATTATTGAGCATTTGATATATGGCTGGTCCAATTGATCCTATAAACTACTCATTAGCTTGCTTCCAGGTCTGTTGAGTACTCAAGAGTTCTATGAACATACCCACATCCCCATTTCATCCCTGAGAGCATCAACCACTGCCATTCGCTGATTCTTTCAGCCTTCAAGAAGATCTGAAAGCAACATACCCTCTGCTGGGTCAGGCTGCAGCTCGGTGTCTCACCTCCTGTGCAGAACCAGGATAATCACCAGTAGACAAACCTTGACTAGATACATGGGCAGTCCCAAAAGAGACCCAGTACAGTCCCTCAGTTCCATTGCCTTCACCTCAGCCTTTCATCCTGATACCGGCCTCTGAAAATCTGAAGTATAGCACTGTGGGCACCTTAGTAGGTGAATTTAACCACAGCCTCTTAGGAAAAGAGAGATAGATAACTTTGGAGAGATTAATAAATAAGCACTTGAAAGTAAAACAAAAAATATTTTTCCTGGAAAATTCTTGAGATAAAGACAGAATACAGACCTGATGGAGTGGCTTCCTGTTAGCACAGTTTATGCCCCCAATGAAGACCATGTTAGGCATGATGGGCCTGGGGTAGTCAAACACAAAGTCCCCTCGGAACAGCCACACCGATGCATGGCTAAGAACCTCCACCAAGGACACCTCTCTCTGCAAAAGCTCAGAGGCAAGGCTTTCATAGGGAGTGAATGAGATATGGCAAAAGTACTTCAAGGGGAGAGGGTACAGCATGTTCTTGACCCTTTGCAGGAAGCTCATGTGGTCCGAATGTGTTGTGAGTAGCCTTGGAATATATGAAGAAGGGTTTGGACACTGTGTGGCCTCAGAGTCTATGTCACAGGGAATGGAGCGCAGAAAAAAAACAGCAGGAATCTGTAGGTACTTGGCCAGCACTGCCCCACAGGGAAATACAGGGTCTGTTAAGACCACATCGAAGAAACTGGAATTCAGCTGCTGGATCAGGGTCTCGTTGTGCAGAAGACCTGCACAAGAATTTGCATAGAGTTCTGAAACGTTTCTTAAAGCTGCTAAATTTTCAAAAAAAACCTCCACAAAACCTTGTGTTTCAAAGGCCTTCTTAGCGTTTCCCAGTAGGTTTTGTTGATATTCTTCCTGGGTGGATGGAAAGGGAAAGGTTTTGAGGGTGAAGAAGTCCTCTCCTTTGATGTGCAGAGTCACTTCTGGAGCCAGGACCACAATCTGGTGGCCTCGGGCGTGGAGCTCCCTGGAGAAATCCCTCATGCTCAGCCAGTGACTGCCTTCCATTGGAAACACCAGCACCTTTGCACCTTGAGCCCACGGTAGGGCACACAGCAGGAGCAGCAACCCTGAGAGTCCTGCGTCCATCTCCCCAGAGGCCCACAGCAGTGAACTGTCCACAGCTTGTGCCTCCTTTGTAAGTTTATTCCTTTTCTTATCACCAGGCCACCTATCACCTTGCATACCACTGAGTAGTATAGTGCCCTTAAGTTAATCATTACAAAATAAATCTCCCCCTGCCTTGCACTAATGCCCTATCCTTCTGCCTGCCTCTACCCACAGAAACGTAAGCTTTGCTTTTCTTGCCTAATAAGAACTCCTGAGACATGCTTCTCTTTCCCTAAGGCATACTGGTTCACCTCTTGTTTTCTTCCAATTCCCCAAACAAGGCACTGGACACCCTTTTCTTTCACCACCTAGACTGTTAGTACGTTGCCATTGAGCTCGGGGAGCGCCCTCATCTCCCAAAACCTTTCTTCTGGGTAAGAGCTCGTTAAAGTCTGTCCTCCAATTCACAAGTAGCAGTCAATGTATCACAGCATACATGACACTACAAAGCAAGCGTGAGCAGACCAAAGAAGGTAGCCCTTTGCCATGCTTCAGATTCTTCTTGGTGCCAGGAGTATAAGGATTGGGTAACACAATCTGAAGTAGCTGTCTGCTGGCAAAGATGGTCATGCTGGAAAGATCTCAAAGTCAAGAGGCTCTGACTCTGCTATAAGACCTTTTGAGAATCGTGTAGTCACTCCATGGGATGAAGCTGATGCTTTGTAATGCACCTGTGGACAACACCAGCCTAGGCACCGACACCGAGTGAGTTCTGGAAGCATCCAGCTCCCTCCCATAAGCTGATCTCCTTAAAAGGGACAAAGACTTCTCAGGGATATGGCCTGGTCCCAGGTTCTATTCTGAATGCCAAGGGCTGCAGGATCCTGCACTCTGTTAAGGGCCCTAGGTGAACACTAGTCTGGGGCTGCATGGCATTCCGAGGTTTGTGATCGAGTTTCCTTCTACAATCCATGCCAGACCAGAACCCTGATGAGGATGGAATTCTCCAAAAAGCATGGACTACAATTTTCTGTGGCACTGCTCAGATTCAAGGAAAGGTGAATTTGAGGCCCAGGTTAGGGCAGGATCCCAGTTGTGGGCACTATGTACATAACTAGGGATCTGGTCCCACCACGTGTGAGGAGCAGTTGCTGTCATCTCCTTCCTTTACATGCCCTGAGGCTGGCTCCACTCTCCACTAAACAAGCTCCTTGGGGTGTTCTACACTCCACCCCTCTGCATCTGCATCATTCTGCCAGGCTGGCCAGGGTGAGGCTTCCCTCTGGAGAGAAGCCACCCTCTTAGGATGCAACCAGGAGCAGAATCAGCAGCTATTTATAAGCAAAATGCCTGACACTGTGCAAGCAGCCTTTGTATTTCACCCTTTCATGGAGGGTGGGAAGCCAAACAATGTTCTGCTTTCTTTTTCTGCATGTTTTGCCACTTCTCTGCATGTTTTACCTCACCTCAAATCCCATTGTTTCCCTTCTATGGCTATCTACGCAGAATTACCCACGTATAGGCTGTAGCCATTCTTGTCCATGTCATGCCCATAAAAGGAAAAGAAGAGATGGAGCTGGTGGCTGAGCAGTCAGAGCCTGAAATCTGATTGCTGCTTTAGCTGCTGATGTCAGCATTAACAGGAACACTCCCATCACTACATCTAGTAGAGGAGGCAGCCAGTTCCAGAGGCAGAACCCACTTTCCCCCAGACTCGGTATGCCCATCTTGTGCACCTGTGCTAGGGAAAAGCACACATTGGTTGCTCCCCTCAATGCGAGGACCTGAAATGTGCTCACAGATCTAAAGCATACAAGAGCCAGATACCACGACTGGACAATTTCTACATAAAATCTAGATCAAAAGGATACTGTCAGTTCTGCTCACTGGGTGCCATAACTGTAGACTAGAATCATAAAGGGTGCATGGCAAATATTGGCCTTCACAATATTCTTATTTCCTTTTTCAGTTTAAAATGTCATATATATGTATATGCTGTTTGGAGTATCAATTATGATAAATCCCTAGGCAAACAGTATTATTTCTTGGAACTAGGAAATGAGGTTTAGCACAGCACTTTGATCCTTGCATTTGTCCTGGGCTAGAAATGTGCAGGTTCAGGTAACTGGCCCTGGATTTTCCATCCATCCTAGTGAAACACATGAGTATGTTAATATCATTCTTAAGTAGCTTTGAGGTGACTCAGTTGTACATGGATGCTGCCGATGTTTTAATAGTTGATGATCACTTGGCTCAAAGTAAATCTTGCCTCTTTGAAAGTAGAGAGAAGCCTGGCAAAGTGGGCGTTCTTAGTTGTCAGCACTCTTGTACCAAGTCATCACACACTGGATGGCTTAAATTCCCATTTAATCGATGCATGGTTTGGAAGCTACAAAGTTGGGTCAACAGAATCACACTCCCTCTAAGCACCCTGAGTGTGAGACTGGTTGGTGGGATGTCAGGAACAAGACAACTATATTGGCACAGTTTATGCCCCACATAAAGGGATTTTATAGCATGGTAGCCTTGGAAAGTCCCACACAAAAATTCTGCACCTCCTATAAAACTGGGTTTGGATATATTTTAGTGCCCTTAAAGGCTAAAATAAATGTGATGAGTAACTCTGTCTCTGTCTGTGTCTCTGTCTGTCTGTGTCTCTGTCTGTCTGTCTGTCTGTCTGTCTGTCTGTCTCTCTCTCTCTCTCTCTTCTCTCTCGCTCTCTCTCTCTCTCTGTGTGTGTGTGTGTGTGTGTGTGTGTGTGTGTGTGTATTTCCTTCAAGGAAGGTAGGAATCCAGATAAATACTCTACAATTTCTCCTCGAAAGTTAGTTCCCCTGCCTTCTTTTCCTCCATCTGCTTTCTGTACCGGCCACTTCTCTACGTTTTATCTCATGTCAATCCCATTGCTTTCCTTCTATGGCTATCTACGCAGAATTACCCACTTGTAGGCTGTAGCCACTCTTGTCCATGCCCATAAAAGGAAAAGAAGAGATGGAGCTGGTGGCTGAGCAGTCAGAGCCTGAAATCTGATTGCTGCTTTAGCTGCCAATGTCAGCATTAACAGGAACACTCCCATCACTACATCTAGTAGAAGAGGCAGCCAGTTCCAGAGGCAGGACCCACTTCGGCCCAGACTCGGTATGCCCATCTTGTGCGCCTGTGCTAGGGAAAAGCACACCAAGGCAACAATGCATGTTTACCCTCAAAGGGGTAGCATGTGCCACAGTATATACCTGAAGCTCAAAGTATTACTTACAGAAGTCATTCCTCCCCTTTCTACCATGTACATCCCAGTGAATCAAACTCGGGTTGTCGACTTCACAACAGTACCTTTACTTGCTGAGCCCTCTCACTGGCGCAGATTTAGCACTATCCTTGATTCCACTCATGTTTTACAAAATTTCCAAGATGTATATGCTATTTGGCATCTATGAAAACCAGCGGCCACACAAGCCCTACATGGGCATCCTTGGTTCTGGAATCACTGCAGAAGCCCATAGTAGAGGGCCTACCTTACCAGGCTGTGACCCTTAGCCTAGTGTAGTCATCTCCTTATCTCCATGTTCCCTAATATTCAGCATGTCATTGTGTGGCATGGTGCCCTCCTTTCACTAATCATTACAAAATAAATCCATACTTGGCAGTGACTCTACTGTCTTACCCTTTTGCCTCTCCACACAAGAAACTGCCCTTATCATCCCTACCAGTTGAACTCCAGTGGCCTGTGGCTGCTATAGAGTGAACACCAGAGTTCATCTCATTTGTCCTCCTACATTCAAAACAAGATTCTGCACACTCATTGCTTTCTTTGTCAGCCACTGAGCTCAGAGAAGAACCTGACGGTTGGTGTGGTGGTTTGAATGAGAATGGTCCCCATAGGCTCATATATTTATTTGGTCCCTAGTTGGTGGAACTGTTTTGGGAGGGATTAAGAGGTGTGATCTTGTTGGAGGAGGTTACTGCAAGTGGGGTTTGAGATTTCAAAAAGCCTATGCCAGGCTCAGTCTGTCTCTGTCATTGTCACTATCGCCCTCTCCTTCTCCCTTCCTCTGTCCCACCTTCTCCAACTTTTGGATAAAATATACACTCTCAGCTACTTTCCCAGTGTCATGTCTGCCATGCTCCCTGCATGGTCACTGTCTCACACTCTGAACTGTAAGCAAGCCTCCAGTTACATGCTTTTTAAAGAAGATGCCTTGGTCATGGTGTCTCTTCACAGCAATAGAAAAGTAACAAAAGGCTGGGCATTGGTGGTGCACGCCTTTAATTCCAGCACTCAGGAGGCAGAAGCAGGCATATCTCAGTGAGTTCAAGACCATCCTGGTCTACAAGAGCTAGTTCCAGGACAGCCTCCAAAGCCACAGAGAAACCCTGTCTCGAAAAACCAAAAAAGAAAAAAAGAAAAAGGAAAGAAAGAAAGAAAGAAAGAAAGAAAGAAAGAAAGAAAGAAAGAAAGAAAGAAAGAAAGAAAGGGAAGAAAGGAAGGAAGGAAGGAAGGAAGGAAGGAAGGAAGGAAGGAAGGAAGGAAGGAAGGTAACGAAAGCAGCTGGTATCTATTATACTCTCTGCTAGACATGCTATACTCAGAAACACTTTCAGGATTCTTCTCACTAGTACATCACAGAACACTGCTAAGTTTGCTGCATCTCCAAATTGGTGCATTTCCTGGACTGTAAAGTAACTAACTATAATGAGCTGGGACAGTGTATTGCAAATGCCTGGCCGATGCAAGGCCAATGCTGAGGCTACATGCTTCTGCACTTCCTTAAAGGACCGGGGCAGGCACTAATCTGGACCTCTACTGCCTCCTGTGGTTTGTGATTGGGTTCCATTCTACAGTTCTTGCAAGGAACTGTTTCCCTTCTATGGCTATCTATGCAGAATTATCTGAGTCTATGGACAATGACAATTTGGATGCATCCACAGAATATTCAAAAACACTGATCTTGTGACTCTGGAGCACCTGCAAGGTAGCTAATAAAAATGGAGACAAGATGTAAGTGAAACTACATGCTGACTGCATCTATTTCCATTCTCTGGTATCATGTGAGCTCACACCCAGGCCTTCCTAGAAAGCATCACTAAGGACTAGTGGGTAAAAAGTTCCATTATCTTGCCACTGAAAATCTGAAAACAATCTGTGTCTACTTGAGTCAAGTCACAGCTCAGTTTCTCTGCATCTTTCCAACTTCAGAAAAGTCACACCTCTAGAAAGACAGTGCCCAGACAAGTAAGCAGTGTTGGTGGAGTCCCACCGCTGCACCTCAGTCCAAGGACCGACCCTCAGTATGGCATTGCAGTCCCCTCAGTGACCACTAAAAACCTGAAATGTCAGTTATAGATATCTTGAGAACTGAACATATCAGATATATTGGAGAATACAAGGTAAAAAAAAATCCTGGAAATCTGAGACCGATGATCACATCAAAATAAGATATTTAGAAAATTAGAATATTGTAAAGCTAAACTAGGGCTCCAATGAAGACCTGAGAGAGTGGCTTCCTGCTAGTATAGTTTATGCCCCCAGTGAGGACCACATTGGACAAGATGGGCCTGAGGTACTTGAACATAAAGTCTCCAAGAAACAGCCATACTGACGAATGGCTGAGAACCTCCACCAAGGACACCTCTGTGCAAAAACCTGGAGGTGAGACTCTCAAAAAGCCTGGATATTGTTTCATATGGACTGTTCAACCATTTTATAATTTAGGGACTTTTGTTACTATGGGAATCTATGAAACCAAAATACTTGGATAGAGTGATGGTTTAACATTAAATAAAAAAAGGGAGGTGAATCTTAATATGCAAACATAACTTAAGCAAATCCAAGTACTAGACATTGACTTAGGAACTGGGCAGATTTAGAGGCAAGTTCTGCTACACAAAGCATGAAGACGTGCAATCTGAGTGTGCTATTTGAATCTACGAGCTTCACCTTCAAAACAATCCTGGAGCACTGATGCTGAAGAAACTGAAATGAACAAAGAAAACATGCTGTACTTTGCTTCTGTTTCCATTTCCAGACACAGGGCAAAGCAAGGACATGGTAAGGGAGAAGAGCTGCTCATAGAGACTGGAGAATAGAAACCCAGGGAGGACAGGTGCACTTAAGGTTAAACTGATTGGAGCCTTAGCAGAAAGTCCTTCCAGCTTTGTGTGAGATCCAGGTTAATTGCAGACTTACTGCCTGCTCTACTAGGCAAAGGAATTGCCCCTCCCTGGAGCCAAGATCTGAATCCCAGACACCTGCCACTGAAAGTCTGAGACCAAGCTCAGCTTCTCCGGTCATCCCCAGATTCTGGATATATCATGTTCAGGAGACACTGTCATGGCTAGTGGGCATACTCAGTGGCCACCCACCATGGCTCCTCCATTCTATTAGAGACCCTCACAACTGCCCCCACTCTTCTCACTGGACACCCAAATCCTGATATAACAACTGAGGAAGCCTTAAGGATTTAACTCACCAAAGTTCCTGAAAGATGAGCAGGTAAACAACAACTCAGAATGAGGACATTAGGAAACCTACATTGGTGGAACAGACCTTGGCAAAATATCTAATACAGACCTGAGAGAGTGGCTTTCTGACGACACAGTTCATTCCCCCAACGAAGAACATATTGGGCATGATAGGCCGGGGGTACTCAAACACAAAGTCGAACCTAAGGAGCCATATGGATGCGTGACTGAAAATCTCCATGAAGGACACCTCTCTCTGCAAAAGCTCTGAGGCCAGGCTCTCATAGGGAGTATAAGAGAAGTAAAAAACGATCTTGAATGGCAGATTGTAGAGAATGTTCTTGACTCTCTCCAGAAAGCTCATGCGGTCTGAATTCCTTGTGAATAACCTTGGAACATATGAGGGAGGGCTTGGACACTGGGCAGCCTCAAATTCAACATCAGAAGGAATGAAGCGCAGAAGAAACACAGCAGGAATGTTCAAATATTTGGCCAGCAGTGCCCCACAGGGATACACAGGGTCTGTTAACACCACTTCATAGGAACTAGAGTTCAGATGCTGGATAAGGCCTGTGTTGTACAGTAGACTCGTGCAAGTTCTCACATAGAACGCTGATATGTTTTTCATAAGTTCCATATTGCTTAAGAACATCGTGACAGAATATTCATTTTCAAAGAACATTTGAAGAAGGCTCAACAGATTATGTCCATATTCTTCCTTGGTGTATGGAACAGCATAGCTTTTCAGAGTGAAGAAATCATCTTCTTTGATGTACACAGACACATCTGGAGCCAGGACCACAGTCTCATGACCTCGGGTATGGAGCTCCCTCACAATGGTCCTCATGCTCAGCCAGTGACTGCCCTCCGTAGGAATCACCAACACCTTCCCACCCTCAGCCCAGGGCAGACCACAGAGCAGGAGCACCAGCCCTGAGAGTCCTCGCAGAGACACCTGGAGTCCCATTGCCATCTCTAGAGAAGCCCACAGAGGCTAACCTTCCTTTGTGCCCCAAACATGAGTTTCTTCATCTTATATAACCATCAAGTCACCTTGCACAATGGCATGTCATTGGTAGGGTACAATGCCCACCTTCAGTTAATCATTGCATAATAAACTCATGCCTGACCTTCACAACTGTCCTGGCCTTCTGCCTCTGCACAGAGAAAAACAGCTCTTATCATCTCTCTCCTAGAAAGATTCCTGTCACCTGCTGCTGCTCTCTGATAAAGAGACCACCCTTTCTCTCCTCTGATTCCCACAACAAAGATCTGCACAAGCTTGTCATTTCATCATTTTCTTCTCTGTCAGTCATACATCAGCAGGATGCCATTGGGGTCTGAGCAGTGCCTGATGACTGGTCACCCATTGTAACCTCTTCACTAATCATGGCACACTTGGTAGCTCTTTAAAATCTCTCTTAGCCTTCTCAAGAAGCACTCAGTGAGTTGTATAATACAGATCACTGCTAAGCCAGCTCAGACAAAGGTTGCTTGCTCTCTAGTTTGGTGTGGGGATACTATAGTTGAAGTGTAGGCAGCTGTTAAATGTGGTAATGCGGGAAGGATCTTGAATTCATAACTTGAGGATTGAATTCCACAGAGGATAACCCTCCTTACCCGTGTGACTTTTTTCATCTTATACCACTGTCAAATCACCTAGCACAATGGCATGTCATTGGCAGGGACAATGCCCACCTTCAGTTAATCATTCATGAGAAATCTGTGCCTGGCTTTCACTACAGTCCTAACATTCTGCCTCTACACAAGGAGAGTCCACTCTTAACTCCTTACACCTATGGCTGTTCTTGAACCTTCAAGCGTTTACCTCTCCCCCCACCCCAAATTTTCAAAACATTTAATCATTTCCTTCTCTCTCAGCCATTGAGCTCTGAAGAGTACCTGATGGCTGGATCCCCAACACAGCTTCTCCTCGCTCCTCTGGACACAACCAGCTGAGCAATCCCTTAAAGTCTCTCTTTCCATTCTCAAGTAGCCATCATTACATCACAGAACAAAGACCACTGCTAAGTCAGCTTGGGGAAAAGAGAGTATTTTAACCCTCCAGTTGGTGCATTTACTAGCATGTGATGATAATTATCAGGAATACTGAATATGAAGTGATTGGCAGATATCAAATAGGGGAATGCTTGAAGGATTTTGAACTCATGCTTTGATTATTTGGAACTCCTCAATGCTTTGTGGAAAGTTTGATATCTACTCTATGGCATAAAGTTCATGCTACCTGAAGCATGCCTGGGTAAGACCAGTCTATGAAAAGAACAGCACCCTGCTTCCTCGTGGGAGCTGTCACCTCGGTCTACTCACCCGATGGATCCAACGTCTGGCCTGGGATCTAGGCCCATCTGAAGTTCTGTTCTCCTTTATGATGAGGGCTGTAACTCCCTGGGTAGGGGCCTGGCTGACACTAATTTGGGCCTTCACTACCTCCTGGAGTTTGGGATCAGTCTCTCATTCATGATCATTTCAGCTCTGCGTCCTGTTACGGATGCTTTCTCTGATAACCACATGGGGTTATCTGGACTGCATTTGTGTGCAGCCTGTGTTCTAACTTTAAAATGGAAAAGGCCATCTGAGATGAGTCGAGCAGGTCCTCAGATCACATATAATCAGGAGTGTGGTCCCCACCCCAAGTATTTCTTGTACATGTGTTCAGCAGTTGCTGCCATGTCTTGGTCCTACTTGTCCTGGGGTTCCACTGTCTACTGGGCATGTCCCAGGGCTGTCTAGCAATTCCACCTCGAGGCTCCTGAGATCTTCTGCAAAGTCTGGTCAGCTATGGTTGTACAGAGAGACGTCTCCATGGGGAGAGAAGAACGGACTTGGCTAATTATTCTGATAATAACAGATCCTACTACTGGGCAGATGTGTTGTTGCAAAATGCTTCCTGTGGGCCACCAGGTGTCACTGTGAAGCAATCCTTTGTGGCTCCCCATAAGGCTAAGAGTCCGGAATCCTACTTCCTTTTCAAAAACAATTTCTTTGTTGTGTTTTCCTGACCCTTTCTCCCGTCCTCAGCACACTTCTCTGTACGTTTTCCCCTATTCTCAGGTTCTGACCTTCCATGCATACATCAAATCCTATCAGAGACATAAATCTAGATCAGAATCACAAAGAGGCACCTAGCAGATATTAACTACAGTATTCTTAATGTTATGTCTTTAAAGATGTTGACAAATCCTGGCTGCTCATTTGTTCCTGGCAATAGGAAAAGTGTTTGCCACAGACTGTCAGTCTTCCGCTTTACACTTTGTTAGAAATGCTGGGTAAGGTGTAGCTTTCTCTGAACCACTTTTAACTATCCTTCCCTTTTTACAACTTCATAGGGAAGGCTGTTAAGAATATTAATGCTACTTTGGGTTTAAATAAAAAGTTGAGGTGGAGGCATATATCTTTAATCTCAGCACGATGAAGACAAAGGCATGCCAATCACTGCCAGTCTGGACTATGTAGTGAGACCACCTCAAATAAAAGCAATATGACTTTCAATTGCATAATGACATAAATGATGAGTCATTTGGCCACTAAAGTAGATCTCATTAGACACATAGAAATGAAAATGTGGCATATATACACTGTGAAATACTTTTCAGCTGTAAAGAAAAATGAAATTGTGGAATTTGCAGGTAAATGGATGGAACTAGCAAATATACTGATGTATCCCAGGCCCATGAAGACAAATGCCACATATTCTCCCCCCTAAGTAGTTCCTAGCTACACATCTTCAGATGTGAGGGGTATACAACCTGGAGTAACCACTGAGACCAGGAAAATAAAAGGCATCCTGTAGATAGGTGGAGGAGCAATAGAGAGGGAAATAGCAGAGAGCAAATGATATGAAAAGGGAAATGGGAAAATTTAGAGGGACCTTAGGGAGTAAAGAGGAGTAAAGATCAGTGCAGAGGAGAGAAAAGGAGGAGGGGGGAATGATACTAGGGGTGTTTGAAAAGCTATAAGGAATCATATTATTCTTTACCCCAAATCATGCATGATACATTTAAGTGTATATATGTATGCACATATAACTTAAATGAATTTCAAACACATGGACTGAAAACTCCCCCAAGAGCCATGGTCTATATCCAATAAAAACCCCAGTTCCTGCCTTTTGAATTGTTAGTCAGGAGAGTCCAAGAGATTTCCAAATAATACAAACTATTGCTGTTGCCTTTAGTTGCCACACAGAGGTTGAAGGTAAGTCCCTAGGGCTGAAGACACCATGCAGTTTGGACACAGGACTGGGAGACTCAAAGATGGATATGACCTCAAAGCCCCCTCCCTGAGCACTAACTTTAATAATTCTGGAAGGTGCTAGGCAAGCTGCCAAGGAAGGGAATTAACTAGAAGTCATATCCAGCTGGGAAGCCTATGAACCACGATAATGACCAGCATGGCAAGATATCCCTGAGGGTGCAATAGTGGTACTTGTATCTTGATGACAACAGCAGTTCTTCGATTGGATTTAAGACCCACTCAACAGGAGGGAAATCATGCCTGGTGCCAGAAACCTAGCCAATTACATGAGGCTACTGAGGTCATGGATCTTAGAGGAGCACCTACTACCACCGAGTTGCCAAACCAGCATAATCCCTAACTGTGCTCTAAATATTTATCCTCAGACAAGCAGATGAGTGTAACGCCTGACCCTCACTAAAGAGGCTTCTCTTTGCACAGACAGAGACTATGATAGAAAGCCAAAATGCAGATTACTGCAACTGATCAGGGAGTGTCCAGCCTTAACCGAGAGGCACATCCACAACACAACTGCTGCACATCAGCAAGGCTCAGGGAACCTAGCAGAAGAGGGGACACACAGACTTAAGAGCCAGAAGAGGGGACACACAGACTTAAGAGCCAAAAGAGGGGACACAAGATTTAAGAGCCAGAAGAGGGGACACAAAGATTTAAGAGCCAGAGGACTAAAAAAAAAATGTGTCATGAAACTGTTGTCCCCTAGAAATGACAGGAAAGCTTCACCCAACAATTAAACAAGACCTGAATAAGGACACTAGCATACTAACACTAGCACTTGCTAATGTGGAAGGGGGGATCTCAAGGAGGCCCAGCCTTATACAAGGAACTACAGGCAACTAAGGGATGCTGAGAATCCATCCAAGGAGGAGTCCCCAAATTGGTGATCCAATACCAGACTGTCAGCCCTGAAATCATGTACATGCAACACTGAATGAACTCAGTAAGTTGTATTTGTATATTGTGCATATATAATCAATGAAAGAAGAGGAGATCAGGAAATTGAGAGCAAGTGAGGGAGTGGGCCATGGGAAGAGTTGGAGGAAGAAAAGGGAATGTAATTAGATTTTGATTTAATAAAGGAAAAAACAAAATAAATTTAAAATGATGGTTTTCAGTTACACATAAATAACGAGGGGGCATTTGATATTTGTTACAACATTGATCCAGATTTAGAACTTAGGGAAATGTAGAAGGCACAAGACTCCCATTACCTCCACTGTAGTAGTTTAAGTCAGTGCAGTCTTTTCTCTTTACATTTTTTTAGATAAGAAACAGATTCCAAGACTATACTCCTTCTAAAGGCAGAGGGCAACATACTTACTTGAGTGCCTCAAGGCTCCATGGTGGTTAGTGATACATTAGCATGTTGTTCAGCCCTAGCTTTGTTCTTCAACATTGTTGGTGGCTAGAGAAGGAAAGGACACTCCACTTAGGCACACATGTCTCCCCATTGTCATACAAGTACACAGACCAGGGGAGAAGCTGACTGGATAAAGCAGTACACACTCATCTGAGAAGTCCATACTGTTAACAGAGTCTACACGCCGCACACTAATGATTTTTGGCAGGCTTACCTTTGGGGTAACCTAAGAAAACTGTGTAAGACATTATACTGAATTGAAAATGAAATACAGCTAAAAAGACAACATTCCTTAATTCTCTTCACATGGGTAAAAGGACCTGAACACAATGGCATAATCTGGGATAGTGCAGCCGGTGTCTTTTGAAGTATAAAATAGGAAATCAAAGCAATTACTTAAAACCTCCAAATTCAGCACCTCCCAGGTCCACAAGAAGCACCTTTGAATCTTACCAGACTTTCAAAGAACTAACACCATTGCTTTTCAAAGGACTCCACAAAATAGGTGGAAAGAACGATATCGCACTCCATATGAAGCCAGCATTACCATGATTCACAAACCACATAAACACACAAGAGAAAAAAAAACACAAAACAATCTCTCTGAATTTCTCAATCTATAATACTTGCCAGATAAATTTAAGGACACATCAAAAAGATCAATCACGATCTAGTTGGCTTTATACCTGAAGTGTAATGTTGGTTTAACACAGGCAACTCAATAAATGCAAAGTATCACTAAAGTGGACAAAAGGACTGAGATCACAGGTCATCCAAAATGATACAGAAAAGGCCTTTGGCAAAACCTAGGATCCTTTCATACAGAAAGTCCTGTAGATACAAGTCAGAAGAACATATCTCAACATGGTATAAGCTACGTGGCACAAAACTGTAGCCAACATTACAGGAAATGGGGAGAAATTCAAAGCGCTTCCACTAAAATCAGGAACTAAACAAAGTGTCCACTCTGTCCCCTCACTGAATCCAGTGCCAGGATTCTTGTCAGAGCAAGACAAAGGAGAAAACAGAAATCTTAAAAATAAAGGAAGACATGAAAGTGTCCTCATTTGCATACAATATGGCTGTACACAGAAGCAACCCTAAAGACTCCACCTGACCTTCTGAGAGATGAGAAACACTTTCTTCAAAGTGGTAGAATATGAAACTAGCCATTGCCTTCCTAATCAGCAATGGCATACATTGTGAAAATGGTCAAGAACCGCAGTGACAATCGCCTGAGGAAGGAAACCTTAGAATAAGGCTGTGAAAGAATGAAGATTTTAAACACTGAGGGAAGACATGGAAGGTGACACTAGGAAAGGGGTAGACCTCCCATGCTCATGGAACCAACAACTGCAGCCTGAAATCCCTTTATCCCTCTACTAGGCATATGCAGGTAGCACTCCTCATGATAGTTCAGGTCACAGCTCAGTGTCTCTGTTCCCGCCCAGATTTGGGAAATCTCCCCCTCAGGAAAATGGTACACAGACACATGGACAGTCTCAGTAGAGACCCACCACTGCTCTTGAGTCTATTAGAGACCTTCACCTCAGCCTCTAGCCCTATCAGTGGCCACTGGAAAATAGAAGGATCCAAGGCTGGGGAGATGGCTTCTCTTCCAGAGGGGAATTAAATTCGATTCCCAGTGCCCACATGGTGGCCCACAGTTATCTGTAATTCCAGTTCCAGGGGATCCATTTCTCTCGCTGGCTTCCACAGTCACTGTCTGCATATGATAAACAAACATACACACAGGCAAAAACCTGCACACAAAAGAAAAACATAAGGACCCAATTCTAATAGCTTATGTCAGGAAAAGCTATCAGAAAAAATGGGAAGAATCATTTAAAAGACTAGTAAGAAAGTTAGCAGTAGAAAATAAATTCTGCATAGAATATTGATGGCTTCAATACAGACCTGAGAGAGTGGCTTCCTGTTGGCACAGTTTATGCCCCCAATGAAGACCATGTTAGGCAGGATGGGCCTGGGGTAGTCAAACACAAAGTCCTTTCGGAACAGCCACACCGATGCATGGTTGAGAACCTCCACCAAGGACACCTGTCTCTGCAAAAGCTCAGAGGCAAGGCTTTCATAGGGAGTGAATGTAATATGGCAAAGGTACTTCAAGGGGAGAAGGTACAGCATGTTCTTGACCCTTTGCAGGAAGCTCATATGGTCAGAAAGCCTTGTGAGTAGACTTGGAATATATGAGGAAGGGTTTGGACACTGTGTGGCCTCAGAGTCTATGTCACAGGGCAAGTAGAGCAGGAAAAACACCGTAGGAATACGTAAGTACTTGGCCAGCACTGCTCCACAGGGCAAAACCGGGTCCGTTAAGACCACATCAAAGGAGCTGGAGTTCAGATGCCGGAGCAGTGTCTCATTGTGCAGTAGATTCCTGCAAGACTTCAAGACAGTTGTTGATATGTTTTTTAGAAATTTGGAGAGTTTAAAGAATGTCTTCACATAGTTTCTTGTTTCAAAGACCAAGTTAAAGTTGTGTGTAATTGTTCGCTTATATCCTTGGTTGGTGTATGGAACTGCATAGGTTTTGAGGGTGAAGAAGTCCTCTTTCTTGATGTATATAGACACCTCTGGAGCCACGACCATAATCTGGTGACCACGGGCATGGAGCTCTGTCAGAACATCCCTCATGCTCAGCCAGTGGCTGCCTTCCACAGGAATCACGAGTACCTTTCCACCTTCAGTCCAGGGCAGGGCACACAGCAGGAGCAGCCCCACTAGTCCTTGCAGAGGTACGGGGAACCCAGGCGCCATCTCTGTAGAAGCTCACGGGAGCACACCTTCCTCACCAGGCTATGCCTCTTCTTTGCATTTCTTCATCTTATCTCCAGCCCAACCTGGCCACATCATTGGGTGGCACAGGCTCCCAGACATTAATCATTGAAGGATAAATCTATCCTTGGCTCCTGATCAGCCCTACTTATAACCAACACAGTATTGACCTTGTTTCTTTCTTAGAAAAACTGAGACAGGACACACTTTCTCTTTAGGGGACATCTTAGTGAATATCTTGTTTTCCTCTGATTTAAAATTAAACAAGGCTATGTATACCCATTTTATTTCATGGCCTCATTCTCTGTTAGCCTCATTCTGACAGGCTGGCCCTGAGCTCTGAGCAGTGCCTCACATTTTGATCTACAATGTAGCATTTCTGACTGTAACCCTATTAAGTAAGTCTCTACAGCCTCATTTCCCCTCCACAAGGAGCACTCAGTACACTATAAGACAAGGACCATTGCTAAGTCAGCTGGCCCCAGAAAAAGAGAATTTGTGATTCCCTGATGCGCTCCATTTACCTAGATATCTCCATAATGAGCAGGGAACTCGTGGGGAATATTCTTCTGTATATTCTATTGTATCTGTATATGTTTGTCTTATTGGTTGATGAATAAAACACTGATTGGCCAAGCAGGATGATAGGTCAGACCAAGAGACAAGGAGGATTCTGGGAACTGCATGCAGAGAAGAGTCATCATATGATCCCAGGAAGTGACGCAGCTGGGATCTGCGTCACTAGAAACTGCCACTAGCTAACCATAGAGGTCTGGAGGTCTGTACAGATAGTCAGGAAGTTATGTAACTGGGCAGAATCAGAATATAAGCAGGGACAAACAGGAAATTGCTCTCTTCTCTGTGGAGACGCTGAGCAGTCTCGATGTAGCAGGCAAAGGAGTTGCAAGTCTGGTAAGCCAAGACCACATAGAAATACATGGATTCATAGTCACGGGTTAATAATTAAGTCAGATCTAGCCAACGGCCAACAGTTTCATAAGTATTATAGTGTCTGTGTGCTTCATTGGTGCAGAGAAGGGCGGTGGGACCTGCCAGGCCAAGAAAACTTCACCTTACTGAGAACAGTTTTTGAAGCTGCTGGTTGTCACGTGTGGGGATACAGGAAGATATTTCAAACTCGGGATGAGATGACTTGAGTGTAAAGCAAGGGCTGTTGAGAATTCTGTGTGCACCTTCGGACAAGAGTCACCAAAACCTTGGCCAGTCCAGCCACGTGGACTTAACAAGCTGTTTCCCGTGAGCTCCTCATTTTGCATTAGCCTGGGATGTGGCTCAGTCTAAAGTCCCATCCTCCTGGATTCTGGGGGTTACAGGCTTCTGTATTCACCCTGACCTCTGAGTCTTCCTGATGGACATTGCAAACCTCAAGGATTCGACTACAGACACCTCAATACTTTAACTCACCAAAGACTGTTAGAAGAAGTGTGAAAGATCTTTGGAAAGATTTGAAATGGAAGGAATTAGAACAAAGGTCTGAAAGAATGGGTGCTGCCTGAACCATAAGCTGGGCAAAGGCACCACCAGAGACCTACACAGTAACTTCTAGGATGTGTACATCACGGTACCTCACCACAGGGATAAATAGGAACTCTTAAAATCACATTGAAGGAACTAGAGTTCAATGCCTAATCAGAGGTGTGTGCAGCAGACCCAGGCAGGACTTCTTCACAGGTCATATGCCTCCTACATTAGTTTTTTCATCTTTACCATCTTACCACCAGGTCACCAAACAAAGTGGGTTGACACTAGACAGAATGGCATTGCCCCAAAGTTCGTCACTGAAGAATAAATCTATCCCTGATCTTCACCTCTGACCTACCTTAGAGCCTTTCCAAAGAATCTGACCTTCTCCCTTCCTTCCTAGAACAACTCCCGTGATCAGCTGCTCTCACCAAGGGCACCCCAGTTCACCTCTTTTTTTCCAACCCCTGAGGAAGGCTGTGGGAAACCCTTTTCAGTTTCCACCCCTATTAGCCACATCTAACAAGCTGCAGCTGAGCTCCAGTGTCTGATGTCTTGGTCCCCAGTGTAATGCTGCATGTAATCCGAGTTTTGATCTGAAGTATCCTGTAAAAAGGCTCCTAGTTGAAAGCTTCTTCCTCACCTGTTGGCACTGTTGAGTCACTGGATGATGAGGACACTGACTCTCTACATGGATTAACCCTTAGGTATATTTATACTTGACTGTCTTTTAAGAGAGTGGGGGATAGATGTGGATATAGGTCACTGGATGTGTGTCTTTAAATATTGTCTCTTCTCTCTGAACTTCTCTCACCATCTCTCTCTGCCTCCCAGCTATCATGATGTGAACATCCCTCCCTGAGACCCTCCCTGCCATGCTGTTTCTGTCTTGCCAAAGGCCTGAAGAATGAAGAACCCCCCTACTATGAACGGATGCTTCTCAAACCACAAGTCAAAGCAAACCTGTTCTACTTGAACCTATTTCCCTTAGACACTTGTCACAGCTGCAAAATGTCTGTTTGGTGACTTTTAAGTCTCTCTTCCCATTCTCAAGAGGCACCAGATACATTATAAAACAGGGATGATAGCTAAAGACAACTTGAATGAAACAAAGAGGTACCATTGGCTTCCTGGCTTGGCTCATACACTGCACCAAGAGACTTATCCATAATGACTGGGAACACTATTAGCAGGTGCTGGCTGCGGTCACAGATGGGATTAGCTGGAAGGAACCCAAGCTCAAGATCCCGTGACATGAAACTACTTCGAGGACTATTCTGAATTCTGTATCCACGCAGTGAAATAAGAGCTGTCCTTGTCTAAAGCACACTTGAACAAGACCAGCCCAGGCAGTTATACACAGTGGGTTGACACAGCATTCTGTTTTCAGGGACTACTCACCGTGGGACCAAAAGGAGACAAACAAGGACCTAGGATGTCACCAAATGAGAAGTTCTGTTCTGAATGCTGAAGGCTGCAGCCTTCTGCACTCTGTTTAGGAGCATGGGTGGACAGTAATCTGTTCCTCCACGGGGTCTGTAAGGCCTCCTTAAGATTACCACCAGTCCCAAGTACTGATAAGGAAGGAGTCACCAAGAACTATATGAGTTGTGAGCCCTGTGCTCAAATTTCAAGATGAAAAGAGCCCATGACCCAAATAGGTCAAAGTCCAGGAGTCTGGTCCTGTCCCAGGGAGCCACTTCACAGGTACAAAGTAGATTGTTGACATCCGGGATGGTGAGTCCAGGCTACCTGAGCTGTCCATCATTGCACCTCAATACAGCACTGCTTTTCTGCCCAACCTCTATAGTTAGATTCTTAGGAGAGAATTTGCCTAATTTAGATGTTTGCACTGTGTTTAGATTCCACCACGGAGCTTCCTATGTATCTGATACACTACCTGTGATACACTTCCTGTGTATCTCCAACTCACACTGTGCAAAAGCTTGAGTCTCTTGCTTGCTGTACCCAAAGCAACTTCAGTGTTCTCTCTTCCCTCTGCCTCAGCCATTTCTGTGCATGTTGTCCAAGAGGCTCAATTTCTGTCCTTGTACACACGAGTCAGATTGTGCCAATTGCATTCCAATGAGACCAAAACAACATGACTTCAGTCTAGGTTGTGGCCACTCATGTCCTTTGCAATGGCCACACCACAACAGCCAGAAAGAGAATGAGGCAGTTGACGGAGAAATCAGAACTTAACACTGTTTTCTCCTCAGGATGCTACTGTTAGCATTAGAAAGTGGCTGCTGACTACCCATCCGCTGAGCAAGGTAGCCATTTCCCAGAGGCAAAATGCCACTCCCTCTGTCTAGACTAGGGCTGCATCTCATGTGCACCCATGACTGCACTGGACACCTCTGGGAAAGCACACCAGGACAGTGTTGGTGATCCCCCACCTCCCTAGGTGGGTCTGTTGTGAATTCACTTTCATTTGCCAAAAAGCAGTGTTACAGGGAGGGACCTTGCTCTTCCTAAGGCTGAGAGAAAAATATTTAAGTCAATGCTTGGGGTTTAACAGTTGGTTAGTGGCATGTTAGGACTGGACTCAGTCATACGTTGGTTCTACAACAGTGGCAGACTTTGAAAATGGAAAAAAGTTTTTTTCCTAACGCATACAAACCAGCTCATTGCCATGCATGGGACAGAATAGAAGGAACTTGACAGAAGCCAGCTTTCACCTGAGGTCTGACTGGATGAGGCAACTATATGCATCTGGGAAAGTCCATTCTTCCAATTCAATTTATGCCCCACATAAAGACCTTTGGAAGCACAGGTGACATGGGATGGCCCACTACAAGCTATCTCACAACACCCCCATGTTCATATATGAAGATTATATAAGATATGAAAGGAAGCAACTGAAATACCTAACATGAAGTTCTTAACGTTCTGCGGAGAAGCCAGGGGACGTGAGCATGCTAATCGCAAGCTAGACAGTGTTAGAATTGGTTTGGGAACTTGTTAGTGCTCTAAAAGTCAGGCTGTGACATGCACACAACATTCAAGAGGTCCATAAGATTTGGTACTGACACAGGACACATGGGATCTGTCAAACAACATCCAACAGTCTCTGAGGTACCTGGGTAACTACTTTCTACATGCTAACTGAACAAGAAGTGCCAGCATCAGACCAAATACCAGAGCTTTTAAAATATCAACACTTTGGACCAAGAGTTCTCATGATATAGTCACCGAGTGGTTTGCCGGCTGTGGCGGTCAGCTTTAACTGTCAATATAACCTAGAGTCACCAAGGGGAGAGTATTAAGCGAGATTATCTATTTTGGGCTGTTCCATGGATATGTGTGTGGGGATTCTCTTGAGTTAATTGATTTTGAAGCACTTGGCCCACTGTGGATAGCACTATTCCCTAGGCAGAGTAACCTGAGCTGTATAACAGTGGAGAAATCCAGCCAAATACAAGTAAGGAAGCAAACAGGCAGCATGCATGAACTCATCTGCTTTTGACTGGATGCCATATGACTAGCTGTTTCAAACTCATGCTGCCTTGACTTCCTTGCTGTGATGGACTGTAACTTGGAATTTGTTAGTTAAAATAAACCCTATCTCCCTTGAGATGCTTTTTTTTTCAGGGGAGGGGGTCATGTTACCACAGCAACAGAAATAAAACTAGGACATTGGAGGAGTTTTTCCTTTGATAAAGTGGTTACGAGCGCTGAATGTTGCCTCGACTTGGTATCCTAGACTTTGGTGACTCCCCAAGTGAGGCCTTATGCCCTCTGAGGAGTGGATGGGGGAGGTGGGATGGGGGAGGTAGGGGTGCAGGAGAAAGAGAGAGAGGGGGAACTGGAATTGTAATGTGAAATGAAAAAATAATTTAATTAAATAAAAAAGAAGGGGTGGGAAGAGCATCAGATGTTTTGCCAGAGGACCCAAGTTCAATTCCGGGTATCCACATGATGGTTCACACACGTGTGTAACTACAGCTCAGTGCTTCCACTGAAGTACAGAAATGGCAGGGGTTTGGGAGGTGGCCAGAACAGCGGTAGAGGGTTGAAATTTGAGAGATGATTTTCCTAGGGCTGCAGAGCCAAAGAACCCAGAATGTGGAGGCCTGGAGTATGCGCTTGATCTCTGACCAATCTAGACCAATCTAGAGGCCTTCAGTCCAGTGCAGGCGTGGGCAGGTCTACACTCCTGGAGTATCCAAAGAAGCATGGAGCCTGCCTCTTCAGCCTGTGGTATTAGACTTAGACAGATTAGGGGGAATCCACCTTCTCTGGGGTTAAATCATTTAAAATTTAAAACTCACTACAGTTTTAATGACAAACCAATGCAAAAATGCTCTGATACGTAGTTTTCAGAAAATAAGCAGATGCT